TATAATGCATATATATATATTATATATATATATATATATATAATATCACCTGATATTGGATATTTAATTGTGCATACTTGTTTTGTGCATGCATATTTTTACATTTAGATTGCCTTTGCCACCCTCAAATATAATCTTTACTAACACTAATAATTTAATAACACTGTCAGATGTATTTAAAAAAAAAAAAAAGAAAGAATCTTACAATTAATATGTTTATTTTTCATATACTATTTTTTTCCACAAAATAGTATATATTTTCCCCAGCGTTTATTTATAACTTTGATATAGATCAGCCATTTAACAGGTATTGGCCATAGCATCAAATTAAATATTAGTATCGGGTAAAACTTTTTTCAGTAAGCAAAAAGAGGTGATGTGATCTCATAGCTTTATTTTCTCTCTCGAAATGTTTTATAGCAATGCCTCAGCGATGGATATCTATCATTGTTAGCCCATATACATCATGTTGAAGAGGAACTTGAATTATATCAACGACAGCTTTGGATCAATTCAGTCATGTAGTGTGGAGGGTTTGCGCTGTGCACTCTGTGTGGTTTTAAATGCCTAAAAATAGGTCTTTTTATTGTGTGAGTGGCCAGAGCAAGCTCTCTCATCCTCTGTGATCTTTCGCCAGGGGTCATGTAATGCTCCTTAATGTGCTCGTAAATCATGGCTGGTCAGCCCATGCACACAAGAATGTAAAGAATCCAACGCAGTCTCCATCTATCTCTCGCTCTTCTTCTCTCTTCAAGTCAGTCCAGTAAATCTTTTTCTCCTGAAGACTCAAAGAGGAATTTCTCTGCAGCTGATTTTCTGCAAATTAATTACATACTGAGCTCAATGATGGATTTAGGAATGTAGTGGACCCGTTGTGCTGTTCTCTTTACCGTGAACTAAAGCTCATACAGTGCTTTGTTTGCATTAGATCTGGATCCTTCTTAGTTCACAGGCTGATTTCCCATAGGGGGCTACATCACGCAAGCACTGCAGGCCGTCTATTATAAAAAGTAGGCCTGATGTTGTTCAGTGGTCAGTCTAATAACAAGTGCGTGAACCTCTCATTCCCCTTTGAACTTCAATTACTGAATTTCTCTCATGTTAAAATAATTCAGTCATTGTTCATAATTCATATGAATTAATCTTGATAAGCTGGTTCATGCAAGGCTGTATCCAACTATAGACATTGAGGGGGACATGTATGTATCATTCAGATTATTTGTAAATCAGTTTTATGGTTTATATATATATATATATATATATATATATATATAT